GGGAGCAGCCACTGCACTCCAGTCTGGGTGACAGAGTGAAACTCCAACTCAAAAAATAATAATAATAATAAAAGACAGGTCTCCTTACGTTGCCCAAACTCATCTGGATCTCCTGGGCTCAAGTGATCCTCCCACCTCACCCTCTCAAGTAGTTGGAATTACAGGGGCACTCCTGAAATAATGAAATGAAATTTCCATTATCCATTAGTTACTCCCCGTTCCCCATTGGTTCCAGCATCTGGCAACCACCAATCCATTTTGTTTCTATGAATTTACTTTTCTGTTCCTATGGATTTGCCTATGGATTGTTCCTATGGATATTTTGTGTCTGGGTTTCTTTCACTTAGCATAATGTTTCCTGAGATTCACCTTTTATTCTCTCTTTCATTTTCCTTTCTTTCTTTTTTTGGTAGAGACAAGGTCTATGATACCTAGGCTGGTCTTGAACTCTTTGGCTCAAGCAATCCTCCCGCCTCAGCCTCCCAAAGTGCTGGGATTACAGGCATGAGCCATCACACACAGCGAAGATTCATCCAATTGTAACATGTACTTCATTCTTTTTTATGGCTAAATAATATTCCATTGTATGGATATACCACATTTTGTTCATCAAATCATTGGCAGACATTTGGGTTGCTCCCACCTACTTGCTACCGTGAATAAACAGGACTGTGTGCAGACAGGCACAGATTCGTTTTGAGTACCTGTTTTTTTTTTTGAGTTGGAGTCTCACTCTCTCACCCAGACTAGAGTGCAGTGGCCGCTCCCGGCCACCGCAGCCTTGACCTACTGGACTCCGGCGATCCTTCCGCTTCAGCCTTCCAAGTAGCTGGAACTACAGGCGTGTGCTACCATGTCCAGTTAATTTTTTGATTTATTGTAGAGAAGAGGGCTCGCCAAGTTGGCCAGGCGGGTCTCGAACCCGCGGGCTCACGGAATCCACTCACCTCAGCCTCCCAAAGCGCGGGATTACAGGCTGAGCCACCGAGCCGGCCTGAGTACCTGTTTTTAATTGGGTATATATACGTAGGAGAATTGCTGCATCATATGAATATATCTTTGAGAAAAGCACTTTGAACAACACACCCAGGAAGGTTTTTGTCTTTTTTTTTTTTTTTTAAATAAAGGGAAGTGGACAGGGAAAGGAGCTGGGGGTTAGTGTAACGCTCTACACAAATGTAATACAAGTTTGTGTTTGTAGTTCACATATATCATGTCACAGGATCTTTACATTGTCCTGATGACTTGGGAAGTTCATACATCATTATAATCCTCACCGTAAGAGAAAAAAAATTAAAGCAAATCGAGGCCTGGGCAACACAACAAAACCCCGTCTCCACAGAAAAACAACAACAACAAAACAACAACCAAAAACAGCAGCTGGACGTGATGGTGCCCACCTGTAGTCCCAGCTAGGCGGGAGGATCACTAAACCCAGGAGTTGGAGGCTGCAGAGCAATGATTCGGCCATTGCATTCCAGAGCGCAACTCTGTCTCTATTTTTAAAAGGAAGTTGTTTCAGGAAAAGAAGCAGCTTTCTTCCCTAAAATGAGAGCCAGGGAAATGAACTTAGAGAGACAGCTTGTTTCCAGCTTCATGGTCATCTTCCATGATTTAGACAATGTCAATGTAATTTAACATATCACGCTTCTGTATAATTTTTTTAAGGGAGCTTCTAGATAATTCTTTTGGAACCTGCAGAGCACAGTTGGGAAAAATCAGAAATGCTATGCAAGTCTCTTTATTCAGGATCAAAAGTGGAATACCCTCTATGGAAGTCACAGAGAGACCAATAGGGACCCAGGGCTCAGACAAGATGGTGGCCGGCAAAATACCGCTCTATCTTTCCGGGTGAAACTCTATGGCAGCATAGGCGTGCAGTTTAGAGAAGTGAAGCCGAGATGGGTGGTAACCTGACCACACTAGCGCGCTAGGAAGAGTGGAGCGGAAAGAGATCTCTTGCGCATGTGTGGAACTGCGGGGAAGAATTCCAAGACAAGGGCCCACCCCAACACTGCAAGTTTTCTGAAACGTGTGAGTCGTTTAAGTCCAGTTAAAGCTGAGGTGGGGCGTTTCCTACGACGCATGCGTTCTAGACGACACAAGCGATACAGTGGCGTGGTCTTTTTCAACGTCCGGCGTACAAACGACGTCTGAGGTGGAAGGGGCGTTTAGGTGCCCAACACGCATGCGTTTTGAGACCAAGGCGTTTCCTTCAGAGGGTGTGGAGAGCAAGGCTCCTTATTGCGCAGGCGCAAAGGCCGTCCGGTAGGGCCAGTGGTCTACCAAGGGGAGGGAAGTGGAGGTTGAAGGGATTAAAAAACCGGGTGCGCCTGCGCTTTGCCGGCTGGTTGGAAGAGCCCAGGATTTGTGAGGGGCGGGGTCACGTATACGCGTCATTGAACGGGTGGGTGGGAGGGAGGGTGGAGCTC